ATAACACCTAGCATTTTTTTTAAATTACTTTTGAGATGTTGACTGTCTTTCATAAGCAGAAGTGGACCTCCCAACTGCCTAAGAACATCATCAAATTTTGCTTTCACTCTGTCTTTGATTGTAGCTCTTCAGGCTTTTTTTCTTTGGTAGCTTTCACACCTCTGCCATTTGAGGTGTCGTAAGAGATTAGGACTTGATGGGACTTAGCTACTAGACAAGCCATACAGAACCATCAGTTCACTCTTCAAGGGATTTATGGTTTTCCTCTTTTTTGTTCCAGGAAAAGATTAGCCATCCATTCATGTACTGGACTTAGGCTGTTTATTGCCTTTGATTCTCGCTGGTGGCCGTGACTGTGGTGGACTAAAGTACTGGTTCAGAAATGTGCAAAACTCAAAAACTGAACGACATCTACTTTTTTTGCCTGCTTGCTACAGAGCATTTAGCTTGGCAGCTGTCATTGCCATATTCTCGTGGCTTTATTAAGGGAGTCACAGGAGTGATGCCTTCACACCGTTAAAGTTTTGCTCGCTCTCTTGAACTTCCTGTGTCAATCAAGTCAGTGATTTTTCTTTGACTGCAAAGATAACCACTGTCTACTCTTGGGCCTTTAGTTTTGCCCTTTCTACAGAAATCCAAGATTGAGATTGCCAAGTGCAGTGCAGACTCATGTTTTTTAGTAGTACAGGGTTTTTCCACTGATATGTGTCCATTAATTCAGTTTTCACATTCCTAGTAATTTAGTAGGTCTGAAAGAACGGGCCTCGCGTTGTTGTTTTTTCAAGGACTTGCCAGGTATATGACTGCGGCACATTAAAAGCCTGTTGTCATGCTTTGATTTTATCCACATGGAAAATTTACCTGCTTTTGCATAAGCGTTCAGATTGGGTTTTATACTCAAGTCTTAGATAACTGGTCCAAAGCTGGTCTGGACATAAGCAGTTACATGGCTGCATGTGTATTTGTTCCTTCTCTTGAATATTTTTGCATATTTCCTAAAAATAATTTTAAAAATTTTCTACAAATTGTCTTTAAAATCAGTTGTTTGGAATACATGTCAGTCTTGTTTGAGGGACAGTCCCTATATTTGAACTTACACATCTTGGATCTCAGGCTAATCTTGAATTGCTCTTGAAGTATGTGAGAACACTCTGTTACAGCTCTGTGAAGCCTTTGTAGAAATGGCAAGTATGTATTCATCTCCTGAAAGCTTGTGAAGAATTTGCTATAGCTTATGGTAGAGTTCTCAGCCTTTGGGAATGTAAGCTAGATTCAATGACATTAAAGATAGATGTTCAGAAGGAACGGGCACATGAACAGCATTGGGTTTTTAATAGCTTTTTTAACTTGTGCAGTTGTACTATTTTACTTGGCTGAGCAAAATGATTAAACGTTTGTTGATTATTTTTTTTAAAAAGCGGGGTAAAATAGATTGAACACTTTTTTCTAAAAATTGTTTTGCAGTGATTATGACTTGGTCTGCAGTGTCTTCACATGCTTTGCTCCACTGATCTTCATCCTGAGGTTTGGCTGCAGGCTCAGAGCTGTGCTTTAGCAGCAGAAATCGTAACTGCTCAGCCCCTTTCCTAATTTTCATTTTCATTTTGTTCTGCAACTCAAATGCTGGGCTGAACTCCTGAAATGGAAGTAGCTGTCTTCCCTGGTTGGTCATCTAAATCAGCCTGACCTGTACATCAGGTTTTTGCCGAATATCAGTATTTAAAGAATTTTTTGTAATTTCTGCTTTTGTGGCTTTGTCTTCTGCCATGTTGTCGTAGGCATAGACTTGATGTTTCCTGGTCTCGTCACATATTATTAAAAGGATGTATCTGATTAAGGGAGGGAACATTGGGCGAGACGATTTGCTGGCTGAGATTAATGCTTGAAGCACAAGATCAGCACCCATGTTAGCACTGGAGGAAATAACATATAGTTTGTTTTTTCTGATGTGTTTATCCCTGATGGGACAGAGATTTGAAGATTAAGAAATGACTTAAGATGATAAGTGCTTAAAACCCATCATATATTACAGCAATCTGGAAAGTAGTAAGAAGGGAGGGGGGAGACCTTTGTGCTCCTGCATCACTTGAAGCTTTTAGAGGATGATTTAGTAGGTAGAATTAATGCTTTTGAATAGTTGCGACTGATGGCTTCTGAAGTCTTCAGTTCAGGCTCTTGCGAAGTTGATTCTGGTATGGTGCACCGACTTCTTCATTGCGCATTTGGGGAAGAGGTTGTCCTAGGAGAAGAAAGGGGAAATAGCCTCCCAGCCGGTTAGTTTTGTGTTTGTAAAACATCTGCTCTGAAGTCCTGAGCCTGCCTAACAGAATCTGCTTGCCAGCGGGAGAGCATGCAGCTGCTTCAAACAGGTCCCACTGATGCAGGCTGGAGGGCTTCTTCATTAGCGGCTTTCTGTCTAATGTGTTTTCTGTTTAAAGAAAGGAAATTACAGGTCACATTTGTATTTTTTGTGTATTTATACTGGTAAGTGCATGAATATTACAGCACTTGAATTAGTTTTCGAAGAGGCCTTTTGTAACTTGGGGTAGTCAGAAGAGACGTTTCAACCTTTTAAACTTCTAGATCTTCCAAAGTAAGCAAAGATCACTAAGAAATGGAGATCTAGGCTATGACAGCAGCAAGCAGGAAAAAGCCAGCTGAACAATGAGAAGTTCCAAAGAGAGAATTTTAATGTCAGAGGCAATCAATTGTTTTGACCAATGACTAAAACTTGTGTGACTTTCAGGAAGTAGAGTGGGTTTGCTCTGGATTTTCAATCCATGTGACATGAAATGGGGTAAAAAAACACTCTTTGTACAACATTTTCTTTGTATAAACATTATCCAAAATGTAAAGAAATTATCTTTCCTTTCTTGACTGTGGGATTCAAACAACTTTTAGTATTGATTAAAAGAACATGGCAAACACATCGCTTTCAAGCTGTTTCCTTGAGGGAATGTTTTTGCAGTACACGGTCTTTAATGGGCAGGGATTTCAATACGTGCACGGGCTGCTGTGTAGCATCAGAGAAGGAGGTTGGAGAAATATGCCTTGCACCTGGGGCTGCTGATTTCATTACCTTCAGGAACCCAACCCATCACCTCACATCGGTTCCAGAGGATACTTCATCCTCTCTACAGATTAACTTCATCCTGCTTATAGAAAGGACTGCTGAGGTAGGAGCTTCAACTGCAGACTCCAAGAAAGCTTTTTAGGCAAATGTTTGACAGGAAACTTCGATACTGTGGTAAGAAACCTTAGGGTAAGTCCAAGACCTGTTGGAAGCTGGGCTGAAGCCTATGTCAGAGCAGTAATGTCTGAAGCACAAGTAATAGCTGTGGTGACCGTGGTGAGAGGATTTGTACACTGATTTCTTACAAGAGAAAATAATTTTCTCTAAAGATTGGGTCTGCGTTTTCTTGTGCTTTTCACTAGGCATCTATAGAAATAAAAATGCACGGCAAAATTGTGGGGGTAGCAACTTTAACCAGAAGCAGCTGAATTGCAGCTACAGATCTTTGGACCACTTCCCTCTTCCCACTCTTCTGGTTGAATCTGTTACATGGAACATGCAGCGTGTAGGTTTCAACATCCCCAGCATTTGCTGATTCTGCTGGGCTTCTTCGCAGCCTGCAGGAGTGGCTGGAGCAGCAAAGCCTGCCAGACCTTAAAGACCACTGCTCCATGGGTCCTCCACCACCCTGCACGCAAAAAGGGGCGCCTTTGGGCACGTCTGGTGGCACACTGCGAGGCCGTCGAGACAAGCAAAGTGATGGGCAGGATTAATTAACCTCAGTACAGTACAGCCTTAAATACGTCAATTATCTCGGGGTGTGGAAGGTGAATAATACCCCAGTGTGGTGGTGTCCTGCTCTGTGGCCCCCCTGGCATGGGGACAGTCAGAGCGGGCTGGGGACACCTAAAGTCACCTCATGCCATGTGACGGAACATGTGTCCTGGTTTTGCTCCCAGAGCCAGGTTAGCTCGGCTTGTGAGGTTGTGCTGCAGTCTGTCTGGATTTAGGGGAGTGATGAAACGTGCTTAACAGCAACTCTGCACTTACTTCTAAGCGTGGCTTTAGTTCTCTAATGGCAGGTGTCCTTTTAAAATCAGAGCTGTGTTTTCTTAAACATTTTACCCTTTAAAGTATCACACATGAATTTTAGGTAGCTTGAGCTTGCTTCCTTTCTGCTTCCTTGGATTTTATTTTTTTTGTGTGCTTTTTTTTCTATCGTGCTTACTAGTCAGGGAATTTAAATTTTCTGTGTACGTACATAGAAGCCCACTGTTGCTTTTTTGCTTCTCTCACGCAGCCTTTTTGCCGTGGGTGAGCGGAACTTCCACAGCTAAGAAAGCAAACAGAGAGCAAGCAAACCCGTCGCCCCCCACCCCTTGAAAGAGCAAAGGGCATGTGGAATAAATCAAAATGCGACGCATAATAACGAGGTCCCATGGGAAAGGGAGCCGTGCGATTGTGTGCCGACGTGCACTCCCCTTAGA